ACAACCTCTGACTCCATCATTGATTATTTTATTATATCTATATTATAGCTTGAGGCACAAGCACGTCACTGTTATGTCTTGAGTACAATTAGGGATGCCAGAGTGTCACAGTTTACGTGTAAACTCTGGGTACATGTACTCCCTAGAGTGTGAGGAGTACAGTAAACAACAACTCCGTCAGAAAAGTAGGGGAGCAGATCCAGACCCTCATAGAGGTCTGATGGCTGAGTGGACAGCGCTCGGTTGTTCGTAGTCCTAAGGTTCCGGGTTTGATCTCCGGTGGAGACGGAAACAAATACTCAGAGTTTCTTTCACCCTGATGCCCCTGTTACCTAGCAGTTAGTACCTGGGAGTTAGACAGCTGCTACGGGCTGCTTCCTGGGGGTGTGTAACAAAAAGGAGGCCTGGTCGAGGACCGGGCCCCGGGGGACGCTAAGCCCCGAAATCATCTCAAGATAACCCTTCTTACGAGCGTACTTCACCACAAGAGTGGCGACTTGTGGAACTTAGTTGACGTGCTGTGGCGTACGCTCGTTGGTACGACGAAGCGTCCAATACGCCAGGCTTTCACTGTCTCAAGGGCAAAGGAATTTGAGCAACGTTATCAACGTCGATTTAACGTTGATAACGCACAATGAAATCACATTAACGTGACGTGGTTGACTGCGTCATATTACGGTGCATCAAGCTGGAGGTCAGGTTGTATAGGTCTCTCCCCCTCCCCCAGCCCCCCCCCCCTCTTTGGGGGGTCAAAACTGGTCATGTGACGTAAATGTAACAATGAATCAACGGTGAAAACGTTGATTCAACGTTGTGTAAACGTTACTCGAGCAAGTGATGTTTAATGAACGTTGAATCAACGTTCATTAGTGGCACGGAGTCACTTACCACCCCAACACCTCCTCCATCATAACCCGGTGGCCGCAGTATTCTAGAGTAACGTTGATTCAGTGAGGAATCAACGTTGGTAGGGATTTAACGTTGAATTAACGTTGATAACGTACAATGAAACCACATTAACGTGACGCTTCAGTGCTCTTCTAACGTTGATCACATCGATTGAAGGCTTAATTAATGTTGCTCGTGGCTATTGAGGCCACTGAGAATAGCAACAGCAACTATGGCTGGATGGCACCTACACCTACTTTATATATATATATATATATATATATATATATATATATATATATATATATATATATATATATATATATATATATATATATATATATATATATATATATATATATATATATATATACTAAAGTAGGCATAGCATTGCGTGTATTATGCCTAGGAATGTTTCATGGGCCTAGGACAGGTTAGATTAGAGACTGTTATAATTTGTATTATACCATTTAACAAATAGCAAAACAATTTTGGGGGCAAGGATCTGTATTTCGCACGTTGCTCTCACAACGGCTCTGTGGTGATGGCTGGTAGATGGCGTGGCTCATGCTGTGTGTGGGAGAGCCAGCCAGCGAGAGTGGCAGAGAGGGAGAGATAGATAGAGATAGATAGACACAGGTAGAGTGAGGGGGGGGGGGTGGAGGTAGTGTAGGTGGTGATACTGTTACAGCTTCAGGAGAATGCGAAAGTTCTGGAGTTTGTAGGAGATTAGAGTGGAAGAAAGTGGAGGAGAGTGGAGGAAAGTTTAGGAGAGTGGAAGAAAGTAGAGGAGAGTGGAAGAAAGTGGAGGAGAGTGGAAGAAAGTGAAGGAGAGTGGAAGAAAGTGGAGGAGAGTGGTAGAAAGTGGAGGAGAGTGGAAGAAAGGGAAGGAGAGTGGAAGAAAGTGAAGGAGAGTGGAAGAAAGTAGAGGAGAGTGGAAGAAAGTGGAGGAGAGTGGAAGAAAGTGGAGGAGAGTGGAAGAAAGTGGAAGAAAGTGGAGGAGAGTGTAAGAAAGTGAAGGAGAGTGTAAGAAAGTGAAGGAGAGTGGAAGAAAGTGGAGGAGAGTATTAAACTATTGTTGATAATAATTTAAATTCACAAATTTGCTTGTGAGAGAGGGAGTGGCATTCTGAACAGTGTTGCACTGTGAGCGGAATATTAATATCCAAGAAGAACGGCTGAATTTCTGAATACTTCAGAAGGCAAGTTTAAATATTTATAAGATGATACGGCAATACGTGAATATTAGTAATGTATTTAAGACCGGTTAAGATGCTCACAAATTTCATAGAAATTATTACATATACAATCAGTTCTGATTTAGGCCTCGGGTCAGGCCCTGCTATACGTTACAATATTCAGCTCCAAGTTTTCAATTTAGTGTAATTATTTTACTTAGGACTCCATTAGGTATGTTGAATAAGATAAGATTTAAGAAATACCTGGGTAAATACTGGTTCGGAGGTGGCA